AATACAAAGAAAAAGAAAGAAAGATGCATGCAAAAGTGAAGGAACAAAGACAAAAGTATGAGGGACGGAAGGAAAACAAGGGGAAAAATAGGAAGGAAAGAGAAAGGAAATAAGGCAAGAAGGAGGAAAGAAAGAGCAGAAAGACAAAGTTGCGTGGCAGAAGGAAGAAAAAAGACAGTACAGGGAAGAAAGGAAAACACAAAGGAGGAAGGAAAGAACGGAAGGTTTGAAAGGAGGAAAGAATAAAGTAGGAAGGCAAAAAAAGAAGGAATGAAGGAAGGAAAGCAAAAAGCAGGATGGAAGAAGTAAAGAAAGGGAATGAAGGCAACAAGGAATGAAAGACAGTAAGAGGACAAAATTGCACAGGGAAGAAAAAAGTAAGGAAAACAGGAAGGAGGAAAGAGAAAGTAGCAAGACAAAAAAAAGAATGTAGAAAAACAAAAGAGAAGCAAAAAAGCAGGAAGGAAAGAAAAGGAAGGAAGGCAAGGAAGAAAAGAAGTAAGACCGTAAGAACAATTGCACAAGGAAGGAAGAAACAAAAAGAAGGAAGGAAAGAAAAAGGAAGGCAAGGAGGAGGAAGGGAAGACCAAGTAGAAACACACACACGAAATGCAAAGCGGAAGAAAGAAAAAGACAATAGGAAGTAAGCAAAACAAAAAGTAGGAAAGAAAAAGGAAGGAAGGTCAGGAGGAGGAAATAAAGACAAAGCAGAAAGACAGAAAATAAGTTGCAAGGGGTGGGAAGAAAAATGCGAAGGAAAGACAGATGAAGTAGGAAGGAGGAAGGAAAGAAAAATGAAGGAAGGCTAGAAGGAGGAAAGAACGACAACGCAGAAAGACAAAAAAAATAAGTTGCAAAGGGTGGGAAGCAGTGAGGGGTGTCCAGGGTGGCACTGGACACCCCTAACATTTGATCGGCCACCCCAATAATTAATATGCTACTATTTAATTTTCTTTGTTTAATAGTACTTAAAGAAGAGTTTGTTTTAGCCCAACATTTGATCGGCCACCCCAATAATTAATATGCTACTATTTAATTTTCTTTGTTTAATAGTACTGAAAGAAGCCGCGAACTCAAGGATGCGACGCGTCTGAAGTTCCGCATGGCGCTTCGTCTCGACCGTTTCCAGCCTCTCGCGCCATACGTTCAATTTCGAGTGAAAAACATCGCAGAGCAGAGAGGACACAGACAACGAGCTGACAGACAAGACAGAGCAAGATCACTTTTGATAATAGAAAACAAAGTCTCAGCATTCAAATTCTGTTAGTTTCATTAAGAATTTAGAACGATAAATACAGTTTTGGAGCTCTTTAGTGGCGTGACGGTTCATGCGCACTTCCGCTTTGCCTCAGTTCAAGCTAAGCAGGAGTGCATTCTAATTAGCATAAAATAAACATTAAATAAACATCCGATCCATGTTGAAAGATACACTATGACTTACTGAATGTATAGTGTCTCATGTAATCGTCCAATTAGTGTTTCATCCGCGGAAAGCCAGCAGCAGAATACATTGTCGCATAACAGCAGAAAATCCATTCAGTGTCCAAAAACTAGAGAGAAAAATTTACACTAGAGAGGAGAATTTCGCAAAAATTATATTTATTTATGCTCTTTTTTATTATAATTAATAAAATGTATAGATAGGGCATATAATGTTATTATAAAAATGGTCTAATATGAACTTGCATACAAATATTTTAACATGTATAGTTTAGTTTAGTAAATTTCAGAAAAAAAATTAGTGTCCAAAAACTAGAGAGAAAAATTTACACTAGAGAGGAGAATTTCGCAAAAATTATATTTATTTATGCTCTTTTTTTAATTATAATTAATAAAATGTATAGATAGGGCATATAATGTTATTATAAAAAATGGTCTAATATGAACTTGCATACAACTATTTTAACATGTATAGTTTAGTTTAGAAAATTTCAGAAAAAAAATAACCTACTTAATCGCACGCTTGTTAATTATTCTTGAATAATTCTCACTCCAGGCTGAACTCACAAGTTGGCAGCCCTGTTTGAAGTAAGTTGAAGTTTTAGGTTTCCTGAACAACATTTCAAAAATGCACTGTAGCCTACAAGTTAATGTTAGATCTTTTCTCCAAACCACTGAGGATTGATCTAATGTTAGATCTTTTCTACAAACCACTGGTTAATTAGATGATAAAAATAAAAGAAATAATACTAACTAATTGGCCTAGTCTTATTTCAATATGCTAACATGTGAAGTTACAGTTTAACTAATGAGGAGTGATGTGAATTAATCAGTAATCATAGGATTTATTCATGCTTTATGTCAGGTTGGGGTTACACTGATTTTCTGTCATGTTCTATGGACCCCCTGAATTAGCCTTGGCCACCCCCTGGCCACCCCATGTATAAAACTCTAGCTCCGCCACTGGTGTGAAGAAAAATGGGAAGGAAGGAACGAAAGAAAAATGAAGGAAGACAAAGTTTGAAGGAAGGAGGGATGGAAACAAGTAGAAAGAGAGGAAAACAAATAATGTTTGGAAGGGAAACAAGGAAGGCAATGTTTATGTCAGGTTGGGGTTACACTGATTTTCTGTCATGTTCTGTGGACCCCCTGAATTAGCCTTGGCCACCCCATGTATAAAACTCTAGCTCCGCCACTGGTGTGAAGAAAAATGGTAAGGAAGGAACGAAAGAAAAATGAAGGAAGACAAAGTTTGAAGGAAGGAGGGATGGAAACAAGTAGAAAGAGAGGAAAACAAATAATGTTTGGAAGGGAAACAAGGAAGGCAATGTTGGAAGGGGAAGGAAGGAAGAAGAAAAAAGGAACACTAAAAATGCTGTTAAAAACAACCCAACTTGGGTTATTTGGCAACCCAGCGCTGGGTAAATATTGGATAGAACACATGCTGGGTTATTTTAATGTTTTTACCCAGCATGCTGGGTTGTTTTATTTAAGTCAACTATTGTTTAAAAATCTTTATAATGCTGCCTTAAATGGGCTGGAAATTAAAAAAAAAAAATCACACACAGTATTACTAGGCAACAGCAATAATCAAAAGATGAACATTTATTATTAAAGGTGACATCATGAAAATCTTTTCCAGGCTTTAAGTGCTATAATCAGGTCCCCGGTGCATCTACCAACCAAGGAAACGTGAAAAAGATTAACCCAGTAACTTTGTTTTGGTAAGCCTTTTTCTGCAAGCGTCTGATTTCGCTCCCTTGGTGATGTTGCAAAGAGATATCATTATAATATTACTGCCCCTTAATCTGTAAGTTTCCACCCACGGTGCTGTCATTTCATTTCGCAAGCGACAACGGTGTACCAGTTCTTATGCCATGGCGAAAGTTTGAGCAAAACATGCTAACTGTTCTGTCTTTGGCTGCACAGACGAGCACAGAACACTATTTAGAGTCCCAGCCTCAGAGGAGACAAGAGAGCAGTGGATTCATTGATTTATTTACTGTATATTGCTGATGCCGCCACACAGATATAAAATAAACATGCAATTTATTTCCCAACTGTTTACCTTCACAGACATAACCGACTGTTTTTGTAACTCGTGTGATTTTAACGTAAACTTGTGTGTGAATGAGAACTTAGTTTAGTACTCACATGCTGTGATAGCCGCTTTCTGTCCGTGTGCTTCGGATGTGTGCTCTCAGAAAACCGTATATCAGAAGTTTAAACTCATATTCTCTTTTTATGAAATGAATTTCAGCACGATAAACATGATAATCAGAACCAAAACAGATGTTTTTTTTTAAGCAGGTATGAGCTGTAATGGCGCAGCTCTATTCTGGAAAAGGAGGCGGGGAGCAGCAGCTCATTTGCATTTAAAGAGACATGCACTAAATCAGCTTCCAGTCAAAATAGGCATTTTCAAAATGTTATAATAAATGATCTGTATGGTATCTTGAGCTGAAACTTCACAGATACATTCTGGGGACACCTGAGACTTATATTACATATTGTAAAAAGGGGCATAATATGTCTCCTTCAAGCAAGACAAGACAAATTGAATTTATTTGGGTGAATACAGCATAGTTTACAATATTACATACATTTAAACTCGGCGGCGGTGCTGAGAACCGCTCTCTCCTGTGGACTCAAAAAGCCCGGTCTGACTGTAACTCAGCAGCTGGGTTGTTTCGACGGAGACAGACTCAACCCAGTGGTTGGGCAGAAAAAAATAACCCAGTGTTGAATATGACCCAGCAGGTTAGTTACAGAAAAACTACCTAGCACCTGGGTAAAAATATGAAAAACAACCCAATAAAATGACCCAACAGGCTGAACCCAGCATTTGGGATAAAAAAAAAATGAACCCAGCATTTTTTAGAGTTAAGGAACGAGGAGAAAAGGACGACAGACAGAATGTTGCAAGGGGGGAAAGAATGGAAATGAATAAAATAGGTGAAAAAATAAGATGGAAGTGAGGGCTGTAGGTCTAGCTGGAAAAAAACGGAAAGAAACCAGCCTGTTTTCTGGTTTTAGCTGGTTAAAGATGGTTTAACCTGTCTTCCATCCTAAACAAGCTAGTTTTTAAAGCTATTTTTCTAGCTGAACAAACCACATCTTGAACCATAGAACAGCATATCTTGGCTAGGCAGGGAGACCGACCAGTCAGGAAGAATTTTTTGTATAAGAACCATAAAGGTTACTGAATTTTGTCTAATTACATGTAGGATAATAATCTGCTTTCACTGTCTGTAAACCCATAAAACCCATTCAATGGACATGGAGAAAACCCCAGAGAACGATCGCACAACACCCGAGACAAACCTCCAAACACCCTCGCTGCATGTAGCTATCGGAACATAATCTAAAATTACGCAGCAAAGCTAACTCATTAGCATACTCATGCACTGGAGGGAAATGCACTGATTATGTTTTACTTTACACTGATGACCGAGATGTATTCATCTGCTAGGACTGCGGCTTTGTATGTCTGCGTGTTCGGCCATGAGAAAAGGGGGGGCGGATACGTAATAATCATCCTCCCTAGATTAAATGGAGGCCATTAGACAGATATTAGGGGAACAATTGGGAGTATTGGGCCAGGCTGTCCGCTAGCGCTCTTCACTACGATCAACGAGTGAGTCACGGCTCTGGCTAATGGTTTATCAGCCGTGTAGATGTAGGACCGTAGCGTGGCTGCGGAGAGCGCACCGGGAGGCCTGGCCGCGGATATTTTATCGGCCTACATGTCTCCGGCTTCTGTTCCCTTCTCTCCCAGCATTACCGGGAAAAAGCCATTACCGCTGTAATTATTTTCAAGAAGATGTACTCAGAGAACTCGCAAATATCAGCGAATTGCTTTCTTTGATAAATACTATAACATTCAGGGGGGTTATTTGCTGCACAGCCGCGCTTTTTTGTGGGGTTGTCGTGTTATTTTTCCAGGGTATGTCCATTTAGAAGTAGGATGTTTTACCGCGTTTGCGTCCACGCGTTAATTGGTCGTAATTAAGGACATGCAAGCGCCACAGAAAGGATGAGAGCGGTACGCATATTGTGAGGTAGAGGCATGTTCGAAGGGGAACGTGTGGGCTGGTTCTGTCAGAGAGGCACAAGGCAAACAAAGCTGCTCGGTCATGTCTGAGAGCGCCATGAATAATCTCTGATTGAGCCCAATTATCACAGCAGACATATCTGACAGAAACAGAGGCGGAGGCAAAACGAGTAAGACCTATTAATATTTGCAAAAAACTCAAGCGCGCGAAAAAAACACACACACACACAAAACATAGGGTTCGCGCGAAAAGAGAACAGGCAAAACAATATGGTGCCGGCGGTACAATAGGCACATAGAGATTCGTATTGACAGCTCGCGGTCGGGGGTATCGTTTTGCACCCCGGGATGGCATAATCACATTATGGATGAAACTGAAGCGTTGTCTGTATTAATAGGCATTGAGTCAGGTGGGTTTTGCCCCGATGAGCCCCTGCGCCGGAAAGAAGGGTGGAAAACATTCAGTCGGTATGACTAGTGCAGTGCTGCCACCATGTGGCGAGTGCGCATGTCTGAACATGCGCGTATCTTCAAATTAAAGGCACGCGGGTTATGTTTAAAAAGACTGAGGACATAAAATAACAAATGTTGTTTCCTTTTCAGATCATCTCAGAAGGCTTTCCATGGATTCGTGAAGGTTCTGTGACTTTATGCTAGTCAGTCAGTTTATTTATGTCAGACAAAAGCACGCGTACATATTTCATTGCAATGCTTTTCTCCATTAAGGCCAGAAGAGGGCAGTACTGATCACAGTAGGTTCTCCTTAATGGAGAATGTCAAAAACACTTTATATTGGTACGTCGTTACGCATACAATCCCTCGTTTTCTGTCTGTAGGTCTTACATTACTTTTAATGTATTTTTCTAGAATGTTTTTGCAAAGATCAGTTCGACTCAAAAAGAATGTGATTAAAACTGCATGATTGGTTAGCTGTAAAACAGAGGTACAGTTCTGATAAGGTCTGCCTGTTTGGTTTTTGATTAGGTCAGAGGATGTTTATAGATTAGACATTTAATTTTAAAATAACTAGTATTATTTTCACGTGAACATCATTGCAGTCTCTGGGACCCAAATATTAAAACAGTTAATCAATCCCAGCAGAAATAAGGGCTTAAATAATTATATATTATAATTTAATTTTCTCTCATTGTTTTTCTCATGTGCAGCTGTATTTACAGTAAAAATACAGCAGAGGCTGATTGTCTTAACCAAATAGGCTACAACAAGACAAATGCTTATGGGAAACGGCTAAAAAAAGCAATCTCTCTCTGTCATATCCAATTAATGTTTATATAATTTGCCCACATGAGCCAGACTAATGATTCAAGTTATTGATTTCTCGCCCTGCTTTTAGGGAAGCCTTCTCTGGAGGACGAGATCTGGGAGTTTATACTCAAACGCAGAATAACAGCATGCTGTGTCAGGTATTTGCAGCTAAAACACATGCATTTTGAATGTATATCATATTTATCATATTTATAAAAGGAAACCTCACCTTCCTATGTAGTGTTTTATATTCCTATATAGTGCTTTGTTTTTTGTTTTCTTTTTAAAAAAAAAATGCGCTTGCATGATGGCAGATCTACTAAAAATAATAATAAAAATGATAATTAGACACTAAAGTTGTAATGAAAAAACAGTGTTCATTGTTACAAAGCAGCTAATAATATTAGCTTTTCATTATTCTGTGTGCAGCATATTAAAATAAAGTGTGAGCCAATATTTATTGTTTGCAAACACATGCTTAAGACAGTTTATTCAGCATTAAATGCTTTAATGTGAATAATTCCTTAGCTGACATGAGGTCTATTGGAAATGCGCAAAAGAAGGGAGCTACAATTACACATAAATAAATATTCCTGACAGTGCTAACACAAAGGCTCTCAATGTGCATTAACCATAATCCCCACGGTTCCTGCTGTTTGACCATTTAATAAAACTCAATTAAATGTAGTCGGTCGTAGAGCTTTTGTGCAGAGATCTGTTACACAGGCACGAAAACCGCAGGCTCAAGAGGTGTGCTTGTTGCGTGTAGTGTCGGTCTAGGATGTGTTAAGCCAAAACAAAAGGAATTAAATTCTCATTCATGGACGTTACATAAGCACTCCATTGAATTTGTATCTGGAGGCCTGTTTGATGCACAACAACAAACAATGACAGCGCCCCCATGTGGTTCGACAACAGCCCTGCCCATTTGTGGTTTCACTGCCACTGTTTTAGGAAATTAAACATATTAGTGAAACAGTTGTGTTGTACTTTGAAGGCTGACATCAGACTGTTTAGCATTTTTGAAGCTTGATCAAAGCAAAACTGAAGCATTTACACACATCACATATCTTCATCTATTCCAGCAACTGTGCTGTGATTTTATGCAATGTTTTAGCATTTATGCAATCAGATTAATTATTCATAAGCTTTAATTTGACTGCCAGTGTCATTCTGTATCTTCCCACTAGGTGGCAATAGTTAACTTTCTAAAATTAAACATATTAGTGAAACAGTTGTGTTGTACTTTGAAGGCTGACATCAGACTGTTTAGCATTTTTGAAGCTTGATCAAAGCAAAACTGAAGCATTTACACACATCACATATCTTCATCTATTCCAGCAACTGTGCTTTGATTTTATGCAATGTTTTAGCATTTGTGCAATCAGATTAATTATTCATAAACTTGAATTTGCCTGCTTGTGTCATTCTGTATCTTCCCACTAGGTGGCAATAGTTAACTTTCTAACTGCTTGAGCCGTATTTGAATATTTCACCATGACCACAGTTAGAATAGAGAGTGACTCAGACTTGCAGTGATTTTACAAGGCTGAGAAGGAAAAGCTAAACATATATTTCTTATCTATGTAAGTCAGATTTAATGTACACTATTCATAAAGTCTAAAATAATCACACATTGATGCTTAGCGTGGACACCAAATGTAAATAAATGAATGTGAATGAAAATAAGGCTGTCCATTCAATAATTTGTACAACCTTAGGGGCAAATTCACAGTTAAACCATTTAAAAGCAATAGGCCTATGCAAAATCATACGCAAAAATACAGTTTAACCAGGCGCTAAATGCTGTAATAGTAAGACATTAACATTCTTTTCAGTGCAAGCACACCTCCTTTTTATGTAAATTAGGTCCATTTTAGATGCGGTTTTTGCTATTTTCTTTTCTTATTTTTCGTGTATTTTTTTTCTTTTGCTATTACCTGATTGCATAATTCTTTTAGTTAAAGGAATAGTTGACCAAGAAAGGAAATTTCCTGATTATTTTCACCCCCAGGCTATCCAAGATGTATATGGCTTTCTTCAGCCGAAGAGAAATTTAGATTTTGGAGGGTAACATTCCAGGATTTTTCTCCATCTAATGCAAGTAAATGGGGCTCTTTTTTTCCACACAACCCCAGCCAACAAATTATAATCTTCTCTAACATTTGTAAGTATAAAATAAAGAATTTGTTATTTTGTTCTGAAAACGACTCATCGTTTCACTAGAGAAGGCCCTTATTTGTTGGCTGGGGTTGTTTAGATTACTTTGAAGCTGCCTAAATATGGATTTTGGGCCATCAAAAAGGGTCCACGCTGAGCCTCATTCATTTGCACTGTAGAAGAATATTGGAATGTTTTGCTCCAAAACCTTAAATTCTCTTCAGCCAAAAAAAGAAAATCATATACATCTTAAATGACCTGGTGGTGAGTATTTTTCATTTTTGGGTGAACTATTCCTAAAATAACGCAAACAACATTTGCGAATGAACTGCTTGAACAATTCATTCTTAATGAAGTCCATTTTAAAGTGTAATTTTCACACCTGATATCTTCTGTAGTTTTTTTTTTTTATTGGAAAGCCTGATTTTCAGTGTTTTGTTGGCTTGAATCTTTCACCAAGGTACTTAACAGTACAACCTAATGAACTAATCAGTCAAATTAGCCCTGATTAAAGTCCATGGTGTGATTAATGTAGCGTTTGTGGGTGGTATTAAGTGCTTGGCATGTGCTCATATTTTGACACCATTGAAATTGCAGGAAATTAACAGCATGGCGTATTTATTTGCATGTTCCTCTGTCTAAACAACTCCCCCTCTCTGCAGCAGTCTGGTCTGAAACATGTCATGAATCCAAGGGAACGGAGATGTTGTCCAACCTATGGAAGGAAAACAGAGAGGGAGAAAATGAAAGAGAAAGAGAGGGCATCATGCTGCTCGCAAACTGACAATTCCAGCGACTCTGTCAGACAGCAGTTGACTGCTACTCTGCTATTCCTGTTAGAGGGTTGAACCCACTCTGCCTTGTTGGCACAGATATTTTTAGCCCTGGCGTTTTGCAGAGAGACCAGCACTAAGAGTGATGGGGCCACACAGGCCTCAAGGGCAGCGGTGGGATGAAGAGGGCGGAGGCGGGCAAGGTCACATGAGGCCACTGGAGACGAGAGACTGGAAGATGAGGTGATGAGATCTGGTGATTGAGTCTTGTACAATCTGTCTTTGACAAACTGCATCTTATACCTCCAAAAAGGCTAGCATGGTATTTTTAGATTAAAAAAAAACAAAAAACTTAATCACGACTTTTTATCTCACAATTCTGCCATTTATCAAAGGTAAGAAAAAAAACCTAAAATGTAAACTCATAATTCTGAGGAAATAAAGTCAGGATTAGCTAGATATAAACTCAGAATTGCGAGATGTAAACTCTCAATTCTGACTTAACTTCTCGTATTTTAGAGTTTACTTCTTGCAATTCTGTGTTTATATGTAGCTAATTCTCTTTATTTCCTCAGAATTCTGAGTTTACATTTTTGTTAGATTTTAGTTGTTTTTGTTACTGCCACAAAATAACGAAGGTAATTGCAACTTTTTATCTCACAACTCTGACGTTTTTTTCTCGCAATACTGAGAAAAAAAATCTGAATTGCGAGACATAAAGTCACACCTCTAAGAAAAAATTCAGTTGCTAGATATAAACTCAGAATTCTGATTTACCTTCTCGCATTTCAGTTCTAATTCTATTCATAAAATAAAAAGGTAACTGTGACTTTTTATCTCACAATTCAGACTTTTTTTCAGACAGTTTATATCTTGCAATTCTAGCAAGTCCAAAAAGCCTGAATTGTTTGAGGTAAACTTAACAAACTCAACAAGAGATAAACAAGCTTCTATACAAATGTGACCAAAAAATTACAAAATTGCATCAAGAACTTAAAATATAGGCAGGTGGGAAAACGTATATGCATCCAAATGTAGTTTCATCAGTGTGCAATACAGTTTTTCAACAGAAAAATGGCAAAAACAGAGCAAGTTTGATTATGAACTGGATCTATTTAGTGAGTCTTTATAGCAAAAGCAGCTTCAAACCCGCTCATGAGATTGCGATTTGAATCAGACTCACTCAGTGAATCGTTCAGAAAATAGCCTGTATATACTAAGTGAATCTGTAATTACAAAATAAACTAATTGTAGAAGCCAGTGGCTCCTTAGACACTTTATTTAGTCTGTAGTCCTGCATTAGTTGTGATTTTTGTTGCTCAGTTTAAAACTAAACAAAGGATTTGTATTTTACTTCTCTATTTTATTGTTTTCTTAGTAAGATCACTTTCACGTCTTTAACCGCTGTTTGCTATCACAGGACTGCCAAAACAGCCTAACCTCTTCACAGTGTATTGCCTCATCTTTCCCTCATAAACCTTTTTGTTTTGGAGACTTTTTGTGCCCGGATTGTATAATGGCTCCTCCTCAGTTACTGATAGACTTCTTTCCCGCCTTTTATGTAGCTCTCTTCCCCTCAGCCTCTCAGCAGGTCTCTTTCTTAGATCCACCTGCCTGTGTGCCGAGCTCTGCGGAAAGCACTAACATATTCCTTTTGTTATCCATGCCTCCTACACAATTTGTCTCCACATGGATGACCTTGACTGCTCCAATCCCAAAATAGACCCCGCACACAGGTGTTTTTTATCGCTTCCTCAAGACTGTATTATCGCACGCAGGTTTTCTTTCTATAAATGGAAGATCTGAATCTTACGCTGTCAACCATCTCCTGCCAAGTCAAAGCAATCTGTCGTTTGGCATTCAGCTCTGCAGATTACTTGTTGCTATGTGAAAGTTTGGTGGAAGGGTTTATGTTTGGAAAGTCGTCACATCTCTGGAATACATTTTCTGTCCCATTTAGTTTGTACTATAAATACTGCATTTGTAGGCCTATATATTGAGAAAATAGATTAGATAAAAAAGATTAGAGTAATACGCTGAGATATGAAGTCAAGAAGGATGTGCTAACAAGCTGATAACCAAGCAAAGCAGAAATCTATATAGATAACATAAAATCAACAACAGATGTGCTAGCAATCTGCAAACAGAGCAGAACAAGTTTGAAAAATCGCTAGCTAGCATGAAATAAACAACAGAAGTGCTTGCAAACTGCTGACAGAGCAAGGGGTCTAAAAATACTCAGCTAATTATAACTATAGAAGTGCTAGCAAGTTGCTAACAGAAAATCTGATTGAAAGATACATAGCTAATATGTAATCAACAGTAAGTGCTAAGCTGCTAAGTGAAAAAGAATAATATAAATCAAGAGTAGATGTGCTAGCAAGCTACTAACAGAGCAGAATGGATCAAAATACGCTAACATATGAAATTAACTATAAGCAAATTGCTAACAGACTGAAAAACATTAGGTAATACTGTAAATATATGGAATCCAGAATAATAACAAGCAAATCAGATTGAAATAGATAAAATCAACAACTGAGGTTCTAGCAAGCTGACAGAGCAAAGTAGATTAAAAATACCTATCTGACAATACAAAAATATAAGTGCTAGGAAGCTACCCTTACGAAAATGAACCATGTTTTATTATAGTAAAAGTGTAGTAATCATATAGTTTTTTTTTTGGCGCATTGATTACAAGTACATTTTTACTAAATACCATAACTATGGTTAGAGTTGAACAAAACCATGGTTAATTTGTGGTTACCATGGTTTAACTGCAATAATCATAGTTTTTTGGTTTTTGTAGTAAATCCATGGTTGATTTTCATAAAGTTAATTACAAGGAGCAACAGGTAGTACAGAAAGATTTAGCTTATTTTAGCAAGCAAAAATAAACGTACTACTCTGAACAAAATGACATTTGTTTGAGATGCACAAGGTGGATTTAGAGGGGACTTGGTTATGAGATGGACGCTGCATGATATCTCCAGTAGACCTCTGGGTTGGAGCATCAGTCTCTGAGGATGCGGCTGGCTACTGCGCCACAGGCTCACTCTCCTCATCCTCAAGAAATAACTTGCCTGCAGCCTACTGTCGTGCCATCTCTTAGTGTGAATTGAGTCTATGTGTTGCCAGTGGTTATAGATGCTATCAGTCAAGCACCACACATGCCTGTACCTGCGCTCTTGACGCCGGCAGCCAATCTATATTCCGCTGGAATGACGAGAGCATGTGTTAGCTGACAAACAAATAAAGCCAACAGTCGGTTTGATGAGGAGGAAACGAGAAAATGAGAATTTGAACGAAGTTTGACAATAATTATCACGCTCGACATATTAGCAGAAAGATGGTTCTCACTTCTAAGGTCTGAGATGGAATTAAATATCCACCCTACTGAGTTTTTGTCACCGTTCCTCTGCAAAGCCACAGCGATTTCACATCTCTCTGTGGCGGGTCTTTGATATTAATGCGGGTGCTTTTTTTATGTGAGAGGAGGTATTTTTCTTCTGTTATTACTCAGAGCGGTAAAGTGGAGAAATTCGATTGTCCCGAAACAAGGCTGTCCTTCACTGTGTTGACATTTTCAAGAGGCATCTTAAAACCGAGATCTTCATTTAGCAACTGACCCAGACTCATTCACACGGTTGTTAATCTGAGGGAAATGTTTCATAAAAACATTCTGCTTAAAAGTCAATTGCTTAATCCGTAAATAGTGTTAATAACCCGACCTCTGACCTCAGTCAATTAGTCTCGGCGTTTAAAAACCCTCTCACAGTCAGGTGTTGCTTTCACACAGAGATATTTCCACTTTTTCTGATTTATGAATTGTAGTCGGTAAGTAACAGTAATTTTTTACAATGCTTAATTAAAGTGGCCATTAAATAACGACTCTCCTGCTGTATTTTTCAAGCATAATCTCATTGGTGCATTTCGCTTTGAAAGGCCGACTTGGCAGAATATTAGAGTCTGTAGATGCTGTAGCACAGTTCACTCCTTTTGTTTCTAATGTAGAGCCATAAAACATCTTTTTATGCTCGTGAATTCAGTAGGCTGTGTGAAGATAATCAAAGCACAGGCATTTTAATATTATTTATGGAAGCGCATATTACTTTTTTGGTCTTCACCCTGGGTTAATTTGACTGTGGGAGCGTTTGTGTGTGAGTAAGTAGTTTCCATATGCTTCTCCAGATGATAGTAATGTTGTTGCCCTCTGCTGGTACAATAGATAATTAGCCCTGTCAAAATGACCTCTCAATGCTAGGAATAATTTATGCCTCAACAGGAGAAAACAACAACTGTGTTTCTATGAAAGGACTAAGCGACTCAACAACCCAACACATTTCTGAACAGGACGGCCTCTCGATACTCTGACTGTTGACAGATGTCTCATGTTTTGTTCGACATCTTTAACTCTGTGGCACAGTCAATGCGCACTTGGACAAAGGCTTCTCTTTGAAAATGACATCTGCGCAGGCCACAGAGGTGACCATAGGCCAGGGGTTGAGTCCTGCAGGCATCTCCCTGCTGGTAATTTCAAACTGTGACTCAGAGGTCCACGGCCTGCAAGACAGAACTGTCGCTTTCAGCCCTGACAGACTGTCTGCCATGTGTTTCTCTTCTTCCCTCACGGATTACAAATCATATACTCTAAAGTGTATGACATCAATTTTCACACAAAAAAATCAAATGTACCCACCCTCAGGCCATCCAAGATGTAGATGAGTTTGTTTCTTCATCAGAACAGATTTGGAGAAATTTAGCATTACCTCACTTGCTCAGCAGTAGATCCTCTGCAGTGAATGGGTGCCGTCAGAATGAGAGTCCAAACAGCTGATAAAAACATCTCAATAATCCCCAAGTAATCCGCACCACTCCAGTCCGTCAATTAACATATTGTAAAGCAAAAAGCTGTGTGTTTTTAAGAAACATCCATTATTAAGTATTTTTATCTTCAATCCATTGCTGGCTAAAATACAAGTCATTCATCCACAATCCAGCTTTCTCCAGTGAAAAAGTCGTCTTGTCTAAGTCAGTAGAGAAATACGCAAAGATTTAGCACCGTTTACAAGCAAAAACAATCCAAAACCATTCTAAACAAATATGTTGGTGGATTTTTATGTGAGAGGACAACATGGACATTTTTACTAGAGGAAGTATTATTATGGATCATGAACTAGTAATTTTGGCCAGAAGTGATGGCATAAAGTTAAAATGCCTTAATTATGGATTTGTTTCTTACAAAAAAAGCAGCTTTTCACATTTTGTATTGATCAAGTGACAAAATTTTACATTGTTCCAAAAAAGAAAGAAAAAAACCTAAACATTTAAAAAAAAAAAATGTAGTCCCTTTGAACATTCTATTCATCAAAAAAATCTAGAAGAAAATGTTTCCACAAAAATATTAATTTGACAATTAACAATGCGGCAAGACGTGCATCCAAATGAGAGAGAGAGAGACCGCGAAGCTAGACGTTTCTTCTTATATTAACTAACGTACTCTACGATTAGCTCAGTGAATAATAAAAAAAAAAAACATAGACCCGGCTAGAACAAGCGGAGTGATACAAAATTGTGAAAGGGCGTTCCTATATATATATATTTGTTTGTAATATTTTGGACAAACTAGTTTAGCAGTGAAATCTTATAAATTATGCAAACTCTTAGCTCTCTGGACATGCTGACTACTTCAATAAACTCTTATTATATTCAGTGTACCTGAATAAATATTCAAATTCATAGCACAAATGCTTTGCATAGATAAATGATTACTAAGAACACAGAACAACGCAGCAGAAATGCAGCATTCGGACGGGGGGAATCAGTGCACACCGGCAGGATGATGAAAAGGAAGCTTCCCACCGTGCTTATTGAAATGCATCACAATCATTTGACATGCAAGAAATCTCCAGGCGGATTTGCTGGCAGGGCTTCTGAGCTGCAACCTTTTGAGATCTTCGAAAAGCAAAATTTTTGTTTTCCAGATTTTTGGAACCCAGTTAAAGGAAGTTTCTTATTTGTATGGTCTTTTAAATATATTAATTCCCCCCTCCCCAAAGCACGAGAAGCTATTTAAGTTTGTGACTTATTCTGATTCTCACTTATCATTGTTGTCGCGATTCATCTATGCAGATTACAGACAGACACTTATAACATCCCCAGAGTTTGTGATACCTTATTTGCTCTTGTCACTGTTTGACATGTAGGAGGACATGCTACATGCAAAATATGTAGGAGGGATTTGGTCTGAAAAGGAGATTTTGAGCTGTTATGATACTGAAATGTTGTCCTATTTTAACATCTGCTCAAGAGATTTTCTTTGGCTGATCATTTGTACTCAGCAGAGTGCCATGTCTTAAGTATAACTAACTATGCGTATATCTATAGCATTACATAACTTGCTCACCAAAGGATCCTCAGCAGTGAATGGGTGCCGTCAGAGTGAGAGTCACAATCCACAAGTACGACTCCAGTACATCGATTAATTAACATTTTGTGAAGTGAAAAGCTTTGTGTTTGTAAGAAACAAATTGATCATTAACACATTTGAACTTCAAACCATTCTTTCTGGAACCTCTATCCATAATATTGCTTTCTCCAGTGAAAAATTGTCTTGTCTGAATCAGGAGAGAAATATGCAGAGATCAGATACTGTTCACAAGTGTTACACCTTAATGTTTCACACAGCTTTTCACTTCACAAGACTGTGGATTAATGTGATGTTTTTATCAGCTGTTTGGACTCTGATTCTGACGGCACCCATTCATTGCAGAGAATCCATTGGTGAGCAAGTGATGCAATGCCAAATTGTACTAAATATGTTCTGATGGAGAAACAAACTCATCTACATCTTGGGTATTGTGAGGGTGAATACATTTTCAGCAAATTTCATTTCCTGAAGTTGTTTATTGTAATTTTGGGTGTTTAATGCTTTTGGTTTGTAAATACCGTAACTTTATATGCATATATCTACAATAAGTAGATACAATAAGTCAATAAGTTACATTTTAAGATTACTTTAACATTATAGTACATGACCTCAAAGCTAAAAGACATTTCTTTTTCATTTTTATTTCACTTTAGGTCCAAATTTTTTGAGCAAAAATCACCCCCCAAAAACATGTACTACAATGAACTTGATGTGAACAAGACCTGATGTGAACAAGCCATATGTCTGGATAATTTGCACACAATGTTCAGCTGTTTGAAGACATTTTGTGTCCAGCTTGATTCCAATTTGTAAGTATGAGACATTTCAATAATGAGGTTTTACATGCAAGATCTATCATCCTCAACGTTACAAGTGATGTATTAATTTGCTGGAAAGGCAAGAACGGTTTTATTCATAAGGGAGACCGGGAAGTTTTGTAACATATTTTATTTCAATGTTTGCATTTTTTCACTATGTATGTCAAACTTTGATACAATATTCCCAATATTATCTGCTACAAACTACAGTATCAAATTATAAACCATACGTATGACTTTCCACTTTCTGCTACTTGATTTGTGTAAAAACAGTTTATTTTGGGCCTGATTCAAAACTGATCACATTGTTTTTACATGTTTCCAAAGGTTTCTGTATTTCTCCTTTCATAATAATGAACCATCATGGACCAAATCTGAAGCTTTGGACTTCCTCCAAAGTGCAGCTACAAAAATGTTTTGTTGTCTTCACTTCCCATCATTTCTATTTCACTTTTACAGATTGAATACTGAACTGTACTCTCACTGCCCCAGCCCGGTCACTGTGACACAGCTCGCTTATTTTTTCCTGTACAATATAGTGTGTTTCCCCCTCCCTTGTTCTGGAGCATCCAGACCTGTAGGTTGAGGGGTTGCAATGTGTTTTTTCTTTTATTTTGGTGCTGTTCTGCTGAGCAGACAGACCCTAAAGAGAAATCCCATTTCAAATTAAATTTAAATGACCCCCCAAGCTCATAAACAGTGGGTCGCCTGACAGCCTAATTTATAATTCAGCACTGAGCTAGGGGCTCCTGGTTTGATGTTAAGGAAAGGTGGCCTGAGAACGAGTCTTTGCATCTGAGTCTGAAGAACATGAAGACACTGTGTGTATATATATATATATATATATATATATATATATATATATATATATATACACACACACACACATACACACACATACATACATACAATAAAAACAGTAATTAATTTATTAATGTTAATATATTTTATAAAATGTCATTTGTTCCTGTGATTGTGGAAATGGCAATACACTTTTTTTTTCAAGATTCTTAGATGATTAGAACCTTCAAAATAACTTTTGTATTTTAAATATAAAAATATTAATTTCTATTTTTTTTATATTACTTGCCCCAAATTTTTAAATGGTGGTGTATCACATTTTCCACAAAAATATTAATCAAAAGCTGTTATATAAAGCTATTATATATTTCCATTTTTTTTAATGAACTTCTTTCATTGAGCATAATTTATATTTTATTCCCATTCTCTGTTTTACAGAACTGAATTGTTTAATGCTTCAGGAGTTGGCTTTGTCTAAAATGAGATCTTCAATCCTCCCAGGATCCTTTTAACTGCTGGATTAATGTGTGGTATTAATATTATGATCGAAGAGGGATGCATGTTGATAGTTTCAGCAGTAAAATCAGCACAAATACATGATGATTGAAGGATGTGGAAAGACTGTGTGTGTGAGAGCCTCTGTGTGTATGTGTTTTAGGGGAGAAAGAAAACAGTAATTACATTATGTTTGTTTATCCGCCAAAATTATGGAAAACAAAGCTCTGGATAACTTCCCAATTTCATTCAGAACCCCTGCGTGGAACCCCCTGCCATGCAGCCAAAACACGCTCTCCACCGACAACCAAATTAGCTTCAAGGGCAGATGCAGTGCAACTGTTTATGGAGGTAAAGTCATTTGAATTGAGTTTCGCTTTGTCCTTAAGACAAGACTGGGTCATCTTGATGAAAATGAAACCTTTTAAAATGAAGGCTGGTGTTGCAGCTGTTAGCACATGTGCTTTGACACTGTTTGTGCTCCAGAAATAAATGAATTCATATGATGCTGTTTATTGAACAGTAATGTGCATTTACGTTTCTAAGTGATCGTGCTTTTGATTTTCATTTGGTGGGTGACGAATTTTTTTTTTTTACATTGACGCCATTTTTTAGTAACTATAGAGATGTTAAAGGGGTCATATGATGCAATTTCACATTTTCCTTTCTCTTTGGAGTGTTACAAGCTGTTTGTGAATAGATAAGATCCCTAAAGTTGCAAAGACTAAAGTCTCAAACCCAAAGGGATATTCTTTATAAAAGTTAAGAGTCGTCCACGCCCTCCTAAAAAGCCTCGTTTAAACACGCCCCCACATGTCTATGTCACGATGTGGGAAGATTTGCATAACACCGCCCAAATGTCACGCAAAGAAAGAATGCGTAACTTTGATTCTCGCTGTAGTATTGTTACCGCCGCCGCCATGTCGTGGAGACGCTGTGTGTTTCGTTGTGAAAGCGAAACTACTTTGTTTGGCCTTCCAA